CTCTCACACTCACACACACACACACACACACACATATACACACACACACAGACACAAGCTAAAAGTGACCTTCTCATGTCACGTGATGTATGAACGACCCGCGTAATCTTGCTCATCAGTCACACCTGTACAGTATGTGCGCTAGAGACACCTGTCATCATGTTCTGCTCCCGCTGTTCCACACACGAGCACATTCTCGGGGCGGGAGGGTTTTCCACTCGGAGCGCTCGTCTCTGATTGGTCGGAGAGCTCGTCTCTGATTGGTCGGAGCGCCTCCTGCGCTGGAGCGTGCGTCACCGGTGGGCGGGGCCTGAGCGGCAGTGTTCTCGGTCGAGCGGCGGAAGCGGCGCGGTGTCCTCCAGCGGCTCTCGCGCATCAACCCTCTACAATACAGCAAGAGCCATGAAGATCTGGACGTCAGAACACGTTTTCAAGTGAGTGGAGGTGTTATTTGTCGTGTTATTGCGGTGGAGGGGTCGTGTGAGAGGGGTTTAGCGCGTCTGAGGGAGTGTGACGTCACACGAGGCGGCAACGGCTTCCTGTCAGTTTATTAAAATCAATATTTTTTAATATCCACTGTGTTTTTTACGGCTCTAATGATATAACCTCAGAGTACCAAACGTGTTAGTAATGTGAAAGTTGATTTAGTAACTTTAGTTATGCTAATGTAGTCAGAATCTGCAGTCGGTGACTTTCATCGAAGCAACTGATGACTAACGTTGATAACTAGCGATGAATAACTGTAACTGTGGTGGACATTGGCTGATGAAATAACTGAATTACTGATGTTCAGGTGAATCCGTGACCTTTGACCCCACGTGTGTGCCGCTCATTGCGCAACTCTCCTTGACCTTTCCCCTACATGGACCTCCCGCCGAACGTCACGCGTCATGTGACCGCTGACGGTCTCCTAGGCAACCATTCATCTGAGCCGCCAGACGCTTCCTGTTCCTAAACACTTTAAATAAAATCGCATGTTGATTTAATAACAAATAAACACAATACACGTACACTATATAACGTGAAATACTGTATAGTGTCATATTCATTAAGCAATTTGGTTTAAAAATGATTAGCCTTTTAAAAATAGTTTGTAAATCTCTCATTGTGTTATATTAGTACCAAATATTGGATTTTATCTTTTTATCAATAAAAGATCTTACACAATTTGCTGCACAGGACAAGACACACACACACACACACTCACACACACACACACACACACACACACACTCTCTCACACTCTCACACACACACACACTCTCTCACACTCTCTCACACACAAACACTCTCACACTCACACACACACACACTCTCTCACACTCTCACACACACATACACACACACACACACACTCTCTCACACACACACACACTCTCTCACACACACTCTCACGCACACACACACTCTCACACATACATACACACACTCTCTCACACATACACACACACACACACACACACACTCTCTCACACTCTCTCACACACAAACACTCTCACACTCTCTCACACACACACACACACTCTCACACACTCACACTCTCACACACACACACACACACACTCTCTCACACACACACACTCTCACACACACACACACTCTCACACACACACACACACACAAATCAATGTGTTTTCTGTCCATTACCACAGATTTTGAGTTTATTTTCGGAGCTGATTGATCGTAGGTTTCATCGATCTGAGCTCAGTTTCGGTTTCTGAGTCTAAAAAGCACAATTTGTGGACCATTTTGGAAATATTTACTCAAAAACTGAAGTTTGACTTCAGGATCAACGAGGTGTATGATCAGTCCGCTCCAAAAAGAAACACAAAACCTGTGCAAATTGGAAAAAAAACAAGTTGATAACAAGATTAAATCCATATATGTAAAGCATAACATTACATTTAAAAGCTAATTTTCGAACTGAAACGACACGAGTGTGTAACAAGCTGAAGAAAAAACAAATCCCCCAAAAAAGTACAAAAATGAGTTTTTTTCTAAATATAGTTGTGTATTTTTAATGTTGAAAGCAGACTATCATCAGTAGTTTTCAATGTCTTTTTGACATAATTTTATTCTTCCGAGCTCTTTGGCTGTGCGTTTCTTACAGAGTTGTGGTTGTGAATCCAGTAGTAGTTGCAGACGTAATGCGATCGTGTTACGGTTATGCACAGATGCATGCGTGTGCATTATGTAACTCTGTCTCACACTGTCGTATTGCGCCTCAGCTCTAATTAAAGACCCTGAATGTCCACCGTGTTTTATGCTCCAGCAGTGCTAAAGTTTCTGTTTGTGTCTCTCACAGCCATCCGTGGGAAACCGTGACCAAAGCTGCCATGCAGAAGTACCCAAACCCCATGAACACCAGCGTGTTTGGCGTGGACGTGTTGGACCGTAACGTGGACCAGCGGGGACGACTGCACAGCAAGCGGCTTCTCAGCACCGAATGGGGCCTGCCGTCCATCGTTAGATCGGTACCGACTCCTGCTTCTCTTCTACATAACACGGACTGATCTGTAGGGATGCACTGAATGTTCAGCAACTGAAAGTGTAAAGCATAAAGAATAATAAGCGTAAAGACAATGACATCACACGATTAGGGCTGCAGCTATCGATTATTTTAGTAATCGAGTATTCTACCGAGTAATCGGATGAGAAGTAATAGTGAGTCATTGCGATTGAACTGAATCATTTAACAGGTGATTCATTCAGGAACGAAACACAGACACAAAACAGTGCTGTGTTTGGAATTATTTTTTGTTGGTGATGTAGCGCACAAACAGGCATGGTGTCTAAAACGTAAGTCTCTTAATATTAGCTTCTTGTTTATCGAACCGTTGCATGAAATCAGTATCACGTTTGTAATCATGCTGATTTTTAGAGGTGAACACTGGCACTCTTCGTGTGATGTTGACTAACTTTTTTCTGTGGTATTTTTATGCATAACACGTGCTCGCGGTGCTATCTACTTGTTAGCCAATTACATTTATTTTTCTTATTATTACTACATTTATTATAACACTTACACACAGTGTTCAAATTGGGATCTGTAATATTTTCTGATGTTCTAAAAAAATTCTCTCCTTCTCAGCAAGGCTGCATTTATTCGTACAGTAAAAAATACGTAGGCTGATTCAAGAAGGGGGTCTCAAAAATGGCCAAAAAAATACTATTTTACTAGCTAGAATGTTAAAAATGTTCACCCTTAAAATTGTAGTTTTGTAATAGATTTTTTCTTTGCTAAACAAGCACATTTTGGCTATCTAATTTATGCAATGGTGAAAAAAATTGGCAAAATATATGGTGAAAATTCAGTGTTTAGTTTTGTTTGGCTTCGACCAAGACTTTTCATTTTGGTGCATCCCTACGAATCTGCTTGTTTGCATGCTTCGTGGAGTTAAAGCAAGCAGCTGACTTTAATCTCGAAACCGTAAGAAGCTCTCAGTAGCTCATTGTTCTCGTCACGTTTGGTGGAAACCTAAATCCCGAATGAACTCTTGAGTTTGAGATGTTCACATCCCAGCTATGGGAATACTGCAGCTATTCCTGATCTGATTCATAGTGGATGTAACGGCCTGACTGAGTGGTTATATCGGTCTGGTTAGTCCTCAGAACATGTCGTCCTGGTGTCTCGTTTCTGAGTGAAGTGACTCTGAATGTGACCCTTGACCATGACATTCATTCTGCTCAAGGACCGTCCGAGGTTATTACGAGGCCAGAACTTTCCGGTATGATTCCTAGAGCTGGAGTCAGTTTGTTTTTACTTGGTACTTCTCTAACTCGGCAGTAATGAAAGTCCAGTTCAAGGGATTTTGAATTCCAGGCCTTCAAGTTCACGTGACGGGAGTAATGTACTGTAAATAGAGTCTGTACTAGTATAGATCAGGGTAATGGTAGAGTGTTGCTGGGTTAATAATAGTTGATCTTGTTCTGAGTTCACGCTGACTGAAACAGAACGTGGCTTTAAATCACACACTCCGTTATGCTGTTCAATGATGGTTATTAATAAATGAGTTATTCATTAAACTGCTGTCTTGTTTTTCCGCAGATAATTGGCAACACGCGGACATGTACGTACGTCCAGGAGCACTCCGTCGTCGATCCCAAAGAGAAAATCTTTGAGCTTCAGTCCTCTAATGTAAGTCATATAATTTATTATCAGGATGCTGTAACCATATCAGTCGGTCTTCTCTCACACATCCCTGTTCTTCACTCTCAGGCCTTTCTGTAGCACTATAGTCTTTATAAAGCGAGAGCATTGGTTTGTGTGATTGAATGTTGCCTGTCTGTGTGTAATAGAGTTGCATTCTAGGAAGGACTGGGAGGGCGTTTGGTGTCTGTTATGGTTATAAACAGCATACTCTGAGAGTGTGTCATACCCATCATGCTCTGCTTTTCTCACCGTAGATCACCTTCACTAACATGGTGTCTGTGGACGAGCGGCTCGTTTACCGGCCGCACCCAGAGGACCCGGAAAAGTAAGATTCCTCGCGGTTTCTGATCTGAATGTGTTTAACGAGCTCGTCAGCCATGGGTTTGAGGTTCTCCATGGCGTCTGTGGTGTAATGTTGCGTATCCGTTTATGTTCCTGCAGGACCATGCTGACGCAGGAGGCCATCATCTCTGTGAAGGGCGTCAGTCTCAGCAGCTATCTGGAGGGACTCATGGCCTCCACCATCTCCAGCAATGCAGGAAAGGTCAGCAAACCAAAACACACTTCACCAGTCATTAGCTGTGGTTCCATTCAAAGTTGCAAAACTGGAATATCACATGAAACATTTGTGAGTAAAGCACCGTTTCCATGCAGCGAGTCAAAGAGAACAGAATCGTCACTTTCTGATAAACTGGCTCTAAATATCACACAGAAAACTAGGAGAAGCCACTGAATATAATAATTGTAATATGTGATAAATGACTTGCGCCTCAGAGCGAGCAGACGGAACACAATAAATGCGTGAGGAGGAGGAGGATGCTGCTGTTTGGGAACACGGTCGTTTAAGACAATTATACAGAAATACTTTAACGACAGGCTTTGCTCAGGCCTTTCAGAACAACATATAGATGCTGTGAACGCGATCGGCCCGCTGGTTAATCCAGTTATCCCGTCTCAGCGCACATCACATGACTTGTTCGAAATACATTATATAACAATCATATTTATACTTTAAATGGAAACTGATTCTCTAATTCTATTGTAATATTTTCCACAAATAAATGCAAAAATCTGGTAGTAATCTGATAAATCTGTGTGCACTGGAAATAATATTTTTTGAATAAAACAAGGTTATTACAAATAATAGAGATACTTAGGTCAAATAATTTATTTGACAAAACTGAGAGTAAACTAGGGCTGCTAGCATTCTCAGCACTGTCAAAATAAAAGTCCTAAAAATCAAAAGGAAAGTCCAACACATTGGCAAAAAAATAAAAAGAGTTTAATATCGGGCGATATATCACATACCCACTGGTTTGGTTGTGATATGATTACGTGACTCGGTTGTGTCAGTTCCTTTCAAATGGTTCACAAATGTGACTCTGGAGCACAAAAGCAGTGTTAAGTCGCTGGGGGATATTTGTAGCAATAGCCAACAATACATTGTATGGGTCACAATTATACATTTCTCTTTTATGCCAAAAATCATTAGGATATTAAGTAAAGATCATGTTCCATGAAGATATTTTGTAAACTTCCTACCGTAAATATATCAAAACTTAATGTTTGATTAGTAATATGCATTGCTAAGAACTTCATCTGAACAACTTTAAAGATGATTTTCTCAATATTTAGATTTTTTTGCACCCTCAGATTCCAGATTTTCAAATAGTTGCATCTCAGCCAAATATCGTCCTATCCTAACAAACCATACATCAATGGAAAGCTATTTATTCAGCTTTCAGATGATGCATACATCTCAATTTCCCAAAATTGAGCCTTTATGACTGGTTTTGTGCTCTTTGGACACAAATGGGTCAAGATGAATGAATTCATCCAGTTCATCACAAACAGCTAGAGCAATATTGGATGTTCATGGGTTAAAAACATGACCTGCTCTGTCTGATTGTGAGTGTCCGTCCGCAGGGTCGCGAGGCGATGGAGTGGGTGATCAGACGTCTGAACACAGAGATCGAGGAGCTCGCCATCACAGCCAGAGGAACCCTGAGGACACCTATGGCCGCCGCCGCCGTCACCGAGAAATGACCGCCTTCCTCTCTGTCGCCGCTCTTCTCCACGCGTCTTTCTCCAATGGTGGAAGTTCATTCTCGGCGTTCTGTGCATTCAAGCGTCTACATTAGAGGCTGACGGGGACGTCTGGCGGCGGAGAGACGGCCTGAGCTTTAACATCGACCGACAAACTCTCAAACCTAGTTTTAATGAATCAGTATAACGGGACACACACATGCTCTCTGATGCGATGACGGAAGAGGAACGTATGCCAAACCATTCAGCTCTGTTACACATGACTCTTACAGTCCGAGAGCGCAGCTGTTGGACGCTTCACCAGCACTCACACACTTGAAAACTGTTAGTAATATTAGCTACTATTATACTAGTTACACTTAATCCAAGCATCAAGGAAGGGAACAAACTAATCCAGACTAGATTTGAAGAGGACCATCGCGGATCTTCGCAGGATTCTTCATCATCATCGAGAATGTGCTATATAATGTTAATGTCTCCTTCCCTCAGTAGTGAACATATGTGCACTTGCTGTGACTGTAAGGGGGGTGTTGGATCCAGATGTGATGATGGGAAACATCAGGAAGAGGGTGAAATACATTCTATTTATTTATTTATTTTTGGTAGGTTTATGTTATTTCATGCATCCATGAATCACGACGTCATTATCTTCATCGTCAGCGATGGGTAGCATGAATAAATATCAATCCTGTGGCTCTTCAGATGTATTTACTGAATGCGACGGTGAAGATGGTGCTTCTGTGTGTTCTTGCGTCTGTCCTTCTCGACTGAAATGGCATCGAAGACCTTCTGTATGTTTGGTTTACTTCAGTTTAAATATTATGAGGAACTCGAATAAAACGACTTATTTATACTGAATCTAAATGTGTGTTACTGGCATATTTAGTATTAAATCAAATAGAGCTACTTGGTGCAAAGGTTGAAATAATTTAGGAATGAATTAAATGTCTAGTGTTTTAGAGATGCTCTCTGATCATCATTTGTTCTCTGAACACAGCCAAAGCGGTTTACAAATAAACTCATATTCATACTAAACGATGGCTCGTGCTGCTTTGTTTATAATGGTGCCTGAATATAGTTATAGTTTCTTATTTTAAAGATGGTTTACCAAGATGAATTATGAGATGTGATGTGTGAAGAAACTTGTGTCACGCCCCTAAATCTAGTTTTTAAACAGTTCAGGCGTTTCTGATCTGATGCTTGTGACTTTTATGTGTGTGATGATCTTTTTTTAATATAGAAGAATCATTGAACAAATAAAAATATTAACAAGTAAATCTAGATACACAAAATATAAGAGCAATCTTAAACTGTAGAAGAAAAATAAATAAAATAAAACTAAATAGTTCTGTAGGATATATTCACAGATTGCAGCGGGGGAGCTATATCAGAAAAATATGTTCTCCATGAAATCTAACAATGTCATTCTTTTTGTTATTAATTTGCATTAGAGACTTTTTCAAAGCTTCCATTTCTGATAAAAAATAGATTCCGCTTTGGTATGCATTTCTCAAATTTCTGTTTATGATTATAATATTTACCTTGCAAAATGTAAACGTTAACGACATAATCATTTTACTTTTGTGTGAATAAGTACAAATAACATCTTTTAAAGTGTGCTACAATAACTGCAAGTATTGTCAAAGTCAGTGTTGGGGAAAGTTACTTTTAAAAGTAATGCGTTACAATGTTGCGTTACTCCATAAAAAAGTAACTAATTAAGTTACTTAGTTACTTTTTATGGAAAGTAATGCGTTACGTTACTTTTTAAATCTGGACAGGGCTTGCTTGTTTGTTTTT